TTATTCCAGGAATTGGATCCAGGTCCTGGCACTTTCCAGGCAGACTCTTAGACTGCACCATGATTTCTCAGTTTAAATTTGTGTACCTGGGCCGGGGAGATGGCTCAGTGGAATAAGCGCTTCCTTGGCAAGCGCAAGGACCTGAGTTCAATCCCCGGTTCCTCAATAAAATAAAATAAAATAAAAGTGTACCTGGGTACCATAGAGTGTGGCTAGTTGCAGTATGGTTCATGCTATGCAGTAACTGACTTTGTAGTTTGTATATACATCTAAAACTAAAGCTTAATAACTTAAACAAGAGTCAGGGTATGGGTGTAAGTTCCATATGACCAATGTGATCATTTTGTCTATATTAATTGTACTAATAATGATAAAAACTTAAAAATAAAAAGTTTATTTTAACAGTTTATTTGTAAAGTAACAAACACATTTTCATAGATATAAAAATATTAGGAGCTTTCTAATCTTCACAGACATGACTAATGGCCGTTATAAATTATATTATTTCCTATAGGGAATTAAATTTAAACGAATAGGAGTCCCTTCTCCAACAGAAATAATAAAAGCTTCTAGCAAAGATGCCATCAGGTATGTTCCCCTCTGTCACTGAGCTCTGCGTCGGCCCTCATGCCATATGCTGAAAATTGCCACAGTACCAGTTAGGCCTTTTTCTTTGCAGTGCCAGGGATTGAGATTTATGTTCTTTATTTGATATTTGTAACAGTTGAGAATCTGCTTAGATTGTCTTAAGTAGAATTTGATGAAGTAAATGTCCTCATTTCCCCTTGTCTCTGCCTAGTTTAATTTATGTTAGACATTTTAGAAAATGGTATCTGAGATGTGACTGATTAATCAGATTCTCCTTCTGATTTTCGTTTAGTCCCCTGAATGTTAGAATAAAAACTGGTTGTTTTTGTAGTGCATAGGATTGAAACCAGGGCCTCATATGTGCTGCATTTCCAGTCATTTGTTCATTTATTTATTTACTTGTTTTTTGTTTGCTTGGGGGTGGGCATGTCTTGCTTTGTAGTTTAGACTGGTCTTGAACTTGTGATGACCCTCCTATCCCAGCCTCTAGAATACTGAAATTATAGCCATGTGTCACCATGCTCAGCTCCCTGGCCTTTTTTAAAATTTTAAGACAATGTCTTATACTAAGTTGCCCAGGCTGGCCTTGAATTTGAGTCTTCCTGCCTCAGCCTCCAGGGTAGCTGAGATTGTAGGTATATGGCACCACACCAGGTTTTATCATTTCTTTCAAGCTGTAATAAATACCTAAATAGTGAGGAGTGGGTTAACTACTGGTGTCGGGGTTACAGGCATTGGGAGCAAGAGCATTATCTTGTGGGGTTGTCCAACACACTGAAGGATGTTTAGCTCTTTTGGATCCCTGACTTGTTGCCACTGTACAACATTTTCTTGGAGGTGGCACTATGAAAACCAGAAAACACTTTCCATCTGTCTCCTAATGGTGGACTACATCCCCTGATAAGTAGTTACTGAGTGTGAGAATCATTTTTAAGAGTGCTTCTCACATTTACTATCACAGATGTGTGAAGTACTCATGTTAAAAAGGTTTCCTGAGAACTTTTGTGTTGACAGGATGCTTGTATTATAAGAGCACTTGACCACAAGCATCAGATCTTGCCTCTTGCCTTAGAGAGCAGCAGACAAAGTGCAGAAGGATAATGCCCCCTTGGACTATATCTGAAAGAGTTGTTCAGGAAAGAAAGCACAGAAATAATCATGAAGTTGAAATTTATGGGTGCAGCTGTCCTCAGACTAGTTCACTGGGCTCAAAATGTATAATTAGGGCCAGGGAAATAGCTCAGTAAGGGCCTGAGTTCAATCCCCAGTTCCGCCAATAAAGAAAGAAAGAAAGAAAGTAAAAATAAAATTTAAAAAATTTATATTATATTATATTATATTATATTATATTATATTATATTATATTATTTGGGCCAGGTATGGTAGGTCATGGTTGTAATCCCACCACTCTCAGAGGCTAAGACAGTAGGATTGCAAGTTTGGAGCCTGTCTTTGGACAAATTATGAAACTCTCAAAAAAATAAAAGGCTGTGTGACTAGGTCAGTGTGAAGGCTCTGTGTTCAGTTACCAATACTAGGGGGAGAATTATTTGGTCTGGATGTATTACTTTAAATGTGTCTGTTGTAAATTTTAAAAATGGGCAGAGGAAGTCTAATGAAAAGAAACGTTGAATAGTGGTATGTTCCTAATAACTTGGTACAATTCTGCAAATGAAGTTTATTTTTAAATTATGGCAGTGTTTATTTGAAAAAGTACAAGTGAAAAGAGGGGCCGGGGAGGTGGCTCAGGAGAGTAAGCGCTTCTCTGGCAAGCACAAGGGCCTGAGTTCAGTCCCAAATTCTGCAACCAAAAAAAAAAAGAAAAAAGTAAGGAAGAGACTGGCTCTGCAGAATGACCTGGGCCAAGTAAATGAAGCAGAAAGTACACCCTAAAGCTACCTGAGGACACAGCATGCATGGCCTGGCTGGTTTGTTTGGTTTTTTTTTTCTTCCTTGCTCTCTCTGTAAATTCTTTGTGCAGATTAATGGTTTCATTTGGTTACATTTGCATACACACACAGTGGGCTTTGATCATTTTCATCTCATCACTACCTTGCCCCATCCTCTCCTAGTTTTAATGCATATGTTTTGCTCACATTCCCCCATGCTTTTGATGTGATTCAACTTTGAAGTTTTGTTTTTTGTTTTTTTTCAAACTTTCAAGTGTAGAATGCAGTCTACACTTGTAGGTTTGACTTGGCTTGGCTTGGTTTGGTACCAGGAATTAAACTCAGGACCTTGTGCTTGCCAAGCAAGCACTGTACCAATGAGCTATATCCCCTGCCGAGTTTTGTTTCTTGATTAGGGGTCTTGTTGTATAGCTTGGGCTGACCTTGAACTCACTGTCCAGTCCAGGCTGGCCCCAAATGTGTGGTGATCTTCATGCCTCAGCCTCCTGAATGGTGGGATTACTCGCAGTGCCATCACACCTAACTGCTCCCTCATACTTTTAAGAATCCTGGGAACAAGATTCTCTAGGGTTCCAGTTTGGGAGATTTGGGATTAGATAGCTAGGAATTAAAAGAGGGACAAAATGATAGTAGATTATAGCCATGACCTCTGGAGTGGTGGTCCTGTCACAAGAGGATATGATCCCTTTCATCTGTGGGATGTGATAATGATTTCTATAAAGATAATAGCAACCCCCAATCAAATACATAGTTTCATAAAGTCTTTTTTTTTTTTTTGAGCTTAACATGCACGCCTGAAATCCTAGCATTGAAGAAAGTTGAGGCAAAAGGATCAAAGATTGAGATCAGCATAGGCAACTTATTTGGATCTGTCTTAAGATAAAAATAAACCAATAAACCGGAATGGGGATATAGTTCAGTAGTAGAATACCCCTGACTTTAATTGGTAATACTGCAAAAGTAGAAATTCCTGTCGCTGTAAAACAGATATCAAGTCTTTTTTTTTTTTTTTTTTTTTTGAGGTACCAAGGATTGAACTCAAGACCCCTTGCTTGCCAGGCAGGCGCTTATTCTACTGAGCTATCTCCCTGGCTTGCAAGTATCTTATTTCAGAATGTAACAAGTATTTTTTGACTCTTAACATGCTTATAAAACAAAAGCCAAGAATGATGCTTCATGCTTATAATCCCAATATTTGAGGCAAGAAGATTGTCAGTGAGTTTGGGGCCAGTCTGGACTATGTAGCAAGACTCTGTCTCAAAAAACCAAAATAAATAAAAGTTTAACATCATTCTATTTACTTATTTTTGCAGGTTGGGAATTGAACCTGAGGCCTTACACTGACATGTACCCAAGCCTTTAAAATTTTTTGCCTGGTGTGGGCTAAAACTTGGGATCCTGCCTCAACCTCCCAGAGTGCCGGATTACAGAGATTTTTTTTTTGTCTTTGTGGGGGTTTTTTTTGTTGTTGTTTTGGTTTTTGGTGGTACCGGGGATTTGAATTCAGGCCCTTGCACTTGATAGGGAAGCGCTTATTCTACTGAGCCATCTCCCCAGCTCCTGGGATTACAGTTTGACATTACTTATTCTTGTTCGTTTCTTGAGGCACAACTTCTAGGCATGCCCTAACACACATCATTGCTTTTAATGACAATATGACACTTTGTTGTATGTTTTTGTTTTTTGTTTATAATGAGACTATATAAACGCACAGTTTAAAATTACCGGTACTTCTTACAGATTGTGTGTCATGCTGTGATGTTGTCTACTGACCTTTTCCTTAACAAATATACTGTCAAACTCAGGCTTTTGGATTCTGTGCCTCCGACTGCCATTGGCCACTTCAAACAGTCAGCTGAGAAGCTGATAGAGGAGAAGGGAGCTGTAGAGGCCCTGGCTGCAGCACTGGCGCACATTTCAGGAGCTACGTCAGTAGACCAGCGCTCTTTGATCAACTCAGAGGCAGTAAGCATCTGCACTTTTATCATTCGGGGTTTGAGTGGATTTAAGAGGATTCATTTAAGCTTCTTAATTTTTACTTTCTCAACAAGGTGTTAAATGTATTTTACTATGTTCTTAATTTGAAATCCATAAAGATAAATAGATTCATGGTTGCAGGGACAACAGATGAATACCCGCTAGGCCACTTGTAGAAATAAAGTGTTCTGCAGTTCCATATACTATCCAACTTTTATTAAATGTATTTTACAATTGCACTGAGTTGTGCACAGAACATGTATATGCATAAATGTATCATTTTGCCATTATTTCCCTTCTATAGATTGAAGTTTTGGAATTTTTATTGAGATAATTGTAGACTGATTTGTAGTTGAAAGATATAGCTGTGCATGCCCATAATTCCAGCAGTTGGGAGGCCAAAGCAGAAGGATTGCTGTGGTTTTGAGGCCGGCCTGAACTACATGGCAAGGTTCTGTCTCAAAAAGTACCCACTCCCAAAAAGGGAGCATAAAAATCCATTGAGCTGGGTGTGCGTTAGTCCCAACACTCAGGAGGCTGAGGCAGGAAGATTGTTGCGAGTTCCAGGCCA